GGGGTGTGGGTGTGGGGTGGGGTGGGGGTGTGGGTATGGGGTGTGGGTGAATTAAAGAGCAAGACCAACACACACCCACACCCAGACCCACCCATACTCCTTTGTTAGAATCGGTCACTGGGCGAATCGCGAGAGGTTTTCCGGAAGAAAAGCCCTGTTCCAGGCCTTGCTGACTGATTTCTCAGCGATGGGTGCATCGATTTGAGCTCAAAAGGTACCCATTCGATAGAGCTTGTCGAGATCTACTGGGAACCAGTGTGATCCTAGTTGAAATCGGGCGTGTCGCGAATCGCGAAAGGAAATACTCGAATCCTAACCTAGGATATCCTACGTGGCAGAGAGAACAGAACAAAATGATATGCATGTCTTTTGCGACTATTCAATGTAACATTGAAACACGACCTTCCAACGTTGCACATACATTCCATAGATATGACCGACAAATTGTTTGAGTTACTGTTTATGACATTGTTCTAAGACGTATTGTTCGTATGATAAGGTTGTAGTCAGCATGCTTGTATGATATAATTAGATAGTTTGCTTGTACGGGAAGGAGGAATAGAACCTCGTACGCTCCGATTCCGAATCGGAGACGTACCCCATTCGACCAGAGCTTCCGGATTTGTCTATTGATTTTTTCGAAATGTAATCAAATGAATGTTCAATAAAAAGTCAATGAAAAAACTAAATTCCTTACAGAGACTATATCTTATTTATTGAATAATTACAAAAAAATAAGAAATGAACTTATTGTGAATTCTAGTTTCTTATACATATTTAATATTGTAATGAAAGATAAAGTCAAAACCACAGACGAAGTCTTGATATATTCATGTAAACTCGGCTATTAGGAAAACATTTTTCAATCATAGAACGATAAGATTCGACTTTTTTACGCTCGATTTCTCCATAAATATCGAGATAAACCAATTGCTTTAATTGTTCAACTAATTCACAAAGATTTTGCTCAAAAACAGCAACATGTTTAACTAAAAAGAAAAATAATTTTCAAAAAATTTATATTTCAATCTATTTTATATGCATACCGATTGATTCAGGTGTTTCTAAAGATTTTATCCATTGTCTAGTCAAAACTTGATACAATTGCCCTGCTGGATATTCTGGTCGAACTTAAACAAAGAAAAAACTCCAATACTAAGTTTTACCATGAAGAAGTTTCCCAATTCGATTATTCTTTTATCAAAAGACTTTAGAACAACTCGCCAGAGAACCTTTTCAATTGTAAAATCGCTTTTGAATTCGGACTCTATGCATATGATAGATCCCAATGATGTACAACAAAGTTCAAAGTGAAAAATCCGCGTTCAGGTCATATGTCGAGAATTACAGACATTTTACTAGAAATTTAGTTCATAGTATTGTATATATCAACAAATCAAGTGATGGTATTTTGACCTGAGATTTTACTTATAGGGAGATACTCTGAATGTTAAAATCAACAAAAAAGAATAGTGTAGGATCATGTTAAATTAATAAATTTGATAATCTGCACGCACAGCTCATGTCATAAAATCTACCAAAGGAATATTTTACCCTTGATTATCCATATATGAAAAGATATTTTTTCAGTCAATGATTCTCTGAAAATTTCTTATTACGCGAAAAGTTTCTCTCGACATGCGTTGACATACATGGATTAGATTTCAATAGTCTAATTTTTTGCATATAGTTTTAATTTCAAAACAATCGGACAGTTGAAAACATTTCCTCCTGGAAGATAATTTTGTATAAATACTTTTTTTTATTATATAATAAAATTAAAATTAAAATTAAAAGATTAAACCGAGTCAAATGAAACATAAAAACAATCATCCTTACCACGAGTCTTACTGTCAATATCTTATCGAGGTTTCCTTTTTTGAACGGATGGTTGAGATTTTTGAAGGAGCTGCTGCTGGCTAATAAATCTTTTGCCATATAATAAAGACCTTTATTTACAATATTATTTGAATTATCATTTATTTTACCTTTCTGTTATGAAATTATTGGCAGAGTCCTCTAGATTTTCTTCTCTTTTAAACTATGAAATAAGAGACTTGTCTAGGTGACATTTATTTCGAGATGGGTCGTAACGAAATTGAATAGAATGAACATGTTCAATGTGAAGTATGTGAATCGATAAAAAAATTAGTCTGACAGAAAAATAATTTTTCTCATTTTAGTTCTTTTCAATCTATTATTATACCTCATTAGGAAGAATCGACTATCTAACGAACAGTCGACCTGAATTACATAAATACTATTCATATAACTAGCGAGGAAACGTTCAGAACTGATAAATCGCTTTTTAAATTTTAGTCACACCAATTTGTAGAGCTTGTTGAATTATTAACTGATATAATAATCATTCGGGCCAACAATGTGGCTGTAGAGTAAATTCCTGATAATCGAAGTTTGCATTAACCTGTCCATACCCTATAGTGGCCCGATAGGATCACTATATGGAGCTCCAATAAGCTTCCCTATAGGGCCTTTATAGGATCACTATAGGGTATGGACAGGTTAATGCAAACTCCGATTATCAGAAACTTACTCTACAGCCGCATTGTTGGCCCGAATGATTATTATATCAGTTAACAATTCAACAAGCTCTACAAATTGGCATGACTAAAATTTAAAAAGCGATTTATTAGTTCTGAATGTTCCCTCATGAGTTCTGTTTGTTCCAATTTGGGAAAGACAACCTATACTATTATCATTGATTTATGAGTAAGTATAGACGAAAGTATCTTCTATAAGACAATGATCAATATAACTGCTTTCAACTAAAAGTAATAAGAAGCTTCTTATGTAAGAAACCTAATAATGTCAATTTAAGATAAGGATAAATCAGGAAATATAGTAGAATTAATTAAGCTATGTAGAAAATAAATTATTTTAAATTTATCACGGTCAACAGTCACAGGAGAAACATAGGAACGGACGTCTTTCTATGCGGTGTGAAAAATCGACAAATGTCCACCGAGAAGGATGTTGCAAAGACCGTCAGGAAAAACTCATATGACTGATACGTAGAGAATTCAAATAATATCCAATTGCACAATCCTTCACTACTACTACTTCAAACACACAAAATGAATACTCTCGATAATAAGAGTGAAAGAGAAAATATCTACCTTTTTTTTTATGAAATCAACTGTATATTTATGGATGGACGCCGGCCAGCCAGCTCGCTCAATCGATAAATCACTGGTGACTGTAAACGAAAACAAACAATAGGTGTGCTCCAATTATGGTTATATAGACATATTTCATATTTGACAGTGATGTAACCAGATGTGCGACCATTGAATAATTGTCTAAGCTACAAAAATTCTTGTTGAAAGTTTTCTTGAGATGATGATAGTTGCCCATGAATATCCATTTCCAAAAACAGTTTCGTTAGGCAATTGCTCATTACTGAAAAATTCGTAGTTACATCACTAATGTTCTCAATGAAACAAAATTGAACACTCATTAACAAGATAAAACTTTTTAATCTTTAATCAAAGTTTTTGTCCTATTCAAATGAATAATAACATCATGTCGAAAACAAAAAATCAACTGGCACTTGTCGAAATATGTTCAATTTTCTTATTCAATATAAATATTCCTATCGCAAAACTTAAGTCAATCAAATATTAAGATTGATCTTAGAATTGTCAAATGAAAATACAAGTTTTAATTAGAGTCGAAAGTTTTCTTTGGATTTTAATAAATACAACTATATATATAATTATTTCAGAATTAGTCGAAGAGAATAAATATTATTTAAGAAAGTTTTCTTTAATTATGAGTCTCTACTTACTTGATGTCCAAGGAAAATCATCATCTCGCCAAAGGCGTAATGTTTGCAAATTTGGCATATAACTACTGAGAGTGGATACTAGAGTTTTTCCTGTATGAATTGGTTCATTTGAACCAGTATGACAGCTCGTAAGACAAAATTCGGCATGTTGAACAGTAGTCAATGCATTTTTTCTTAGTTTATCGAATGACTATAAATAAAAATCATTTTAAATTATAAGATTTTATTCGACAAAAAATAATGCTTAGAATAAGAGAACAAAAAAACTCCGTAATCAGGATTCAAACGCAAAACTAGAATGACATCGCTTTTTCTCTATCGAAATAATTAATAAAAAGAAGACAGATCAGGATAAATTCTAATATTACGATTTTATCTTTGTTTATGGAATTGAGATCAAGAGGAAAACAGCTTATTCTCAGTGGCTAGAATCAGAGATGGACAGCTCCGACTCCGGAGCGACCGCTCCACGGAGTTAGCTCCGCTCCCAGAGCGGAGCTGGAGCGGAGTGTTAATACAAATTTTCCCGTTGGAGCAGAGTCGGAGCGGAGCGACTTAGTGAATGTCTGAAGCTGGAACTGAGCTGAAGCGAGAAAATGTCAGACAGATATTAAGAACTGTGCCTTTTCCTCTTCCATTTGCATCTTTTACAACGGAAACTGAGTGTCATTAATGAATACAAAACAAGTGATCTTTGAAGGAGTCAAAAAAACAAAGTTTTCTAATGAAATAATGACTTTTTATTTCTGTTGGAGCGGAGCGAGTGTCTGGAGCTGGAGCTGAGCTGGAGCAGAAGATACTCTGGTTGGAGTGGAGTTGAAGAGGAGCGGCTAGAGAATGTTTGGAGCTAGAGCTGAGCTGGAGCAAGGAAAGGTCGGAGCTGCCCATCTCTGGCTAGAATCAATTCGAGTCAGTGAAATTACTTCGAATCAATGGAATCACTTGGAATGAAGAAGGCATGATATCAGCTCTTTCTCCTTTGCTTGAGATATCTATTTCATTTATCGAAAGATTCAGATTCATCGTGATATTTTCTCTAACTCAATACGAAGTTTCATTTCAAATTTATTTAAAAAAATACAGTGCTGGACAAAATTTTTCGTACGATTTTGTTTTCAATGTAACTCTATTAATAAGCTCTCTTTAAACTCGATGTTTTTAAGGCTATAGTATAGTTGTCATCTACAGTTTATCCATACGACAAATTTAATCCAGAAAGTTGAGTCCTACTTGAACTGAACCTAGAACATTCTAAGATAATTTTTTTTCGTTAACAAAATTTTTCATACGAATTTCTAATCAAATTATTTTTCCCTGAAAACGTTTAGAAAAAAAAAACAAAATCTATATGGACTAATAGAAGAAAAGATGGGCTACATTTTGGTAATCGAAACTTTTCTAAGTAAAACTTTCTATGAAACAATTTGACTAATTTTTCGGTAGATATGAATATGATATAAATGTCAACTCTCTATCCGTATTCACATGAAGAATTTTTTTTAAATACAATGTCAAATCATTGAGACAATGTTTTCCAAGATGATTTTTGAAGACGAACACTATTTTGATAGTGTATGCATCGCTACCTGTTGTGAAAACCGACGCCACACTTAGAATCGCTGATGAAGACTGAGTCTCGATAATGTGTATGTAACGGCTAATAAGAAATTTGGCTCGTATGTTGTATTTAAAAGAATTCTTCATGTAATTCCGGAGATAGAGAATTGACATTTATATCATATCATATCTACCGAAAAATTAATCAAATTGTTTCATAGAAAGTTTTATTTAGAAAAGTTTCGATTGCCAAAATGTAGTTCATGTTTTCTTCTATTAGTCCATATAGATTTTGGTTTTTTTCTAAACATTTTCAAAGAAAAATAATTTGATTTGAAATTCGTATGAAAAAAAATTCATCTACGAGAAATGATTACCTTAGAATATTATAAGTTCAGTTTAAATACGACTCAACCTTCTGAGTTAAATTTGTTGTGTAAATAAACTGTAGACGACAACTATACTGTAGCCCAAAAAACCTCGAATCTAAAGTAAGCTTTTCAATGGAGTTACATTGAAAACAACATTGTAGGAAAAATTTTGTCCAGTACCGTATATTGAGAAGATTCGAAAAAATACATCTGAAAACTGTGATGGAAACACAGCAATGTTGTTTATATCTCTTTGAAACTCTTTTTCTATAAACAATTTATTTTTACACAAAAATCTATAATAAAAGAGATATTATAGAAAGTGCTATACTTGTCTTCTGCAATTGTCTAAACAATTCAGAGAAAAGTAGTCATTATAGATAATGCACCTCATGATTGATATTTTTCATCACAATTAGGATTACGATTATGAAGAAAACGTTTCATAATTCATAGTCACGGTCGCAATGATCAAAACCTTTTAACCATGCACGATTACAGTAGTGAAATAATTAGAGAAAGTTTTTCAGAAAGCTTATTCTCTTGGTCATATTTGTAGAATGGTCAGAGAACATTTCGATCATGTACTTAGTGAACATTCAAGCTTTTTCAGCAAGATACGATCGTTTCTAAGCGAGCTCGAAGTTTTCTAGAGTTGTGTTCTTGCTAATTTTCATCTATTTATGCCACTAGATGACGAATGATCGTGATCATGAAATTGACGTTCACTCAGAAGCAGAAATTACAGAGATTGAACAACACTTCAATGAAAAACGTACAACAATTTATTAGAAAATCATGGAAAAAACGAGAATTTCATCTATAACTATCCATTGGTTATTGAAGAGTGATATAGTCTATTTAAAATACAAGAAGGTCAACAATCTTAAGATTTCTGATCATCAGAAAAAAATGTTCATGAAATGTTCTTTCAATAATTTTATCAAAGATGACATAAAATAATAAATCTTGTTCATGAAAAAAAAAACGTTTATCTCTATTATACAAAATACATTCGATGACTTAAATAGCATAATATTTGCCAGTGTTTGTTATTTTCTAGATGAATATTGATTTTTGGTGGAAAATCAGATTTCGATTTTATTTCAAATAAAATTAAAATACTTACATATTCGATAAGATGTAAAAGCCAATCATATTGTTCAATTCGAAGATAAATTAGTTGAATTGGCATTGAAATAAGATAGGCCATAACTTCTGCACGTAACTTATTTTTATCAATACATGCATCATAATATGCTATAAATATAGATCTTTGTTTTAATGAAAAATATATCCATGACAAAACACAAAATAAGTAGCTCAATTATGTCTTTTATGATTAAAAACAAATTTCAAAGACTTTCTTCTTTTTTTTTAATAGCAATAACAATGAAATGCGTTTTCTTAGCAATTTAGAATGTAATTTGACATTTCTCATCATTTCCAAATTTTTAATAGACATTCTATGCTTCGTTCTGTAAATTCAATTAGTAATTATTCACTTGAAAACATAGACCAAGAAAAAAAACAAAAAGAGGAACAAACAAATAAAACAAAGGGTGAGAATATAGAATCAAACAATTTTATTTCAGTAATTTTCTCTATTATATTCTTTTAAATAAATTTTTAACATGAACATACACGGTAAGAAATAATATTATTCCACAGGGGTAGCGCTGCAATATCAAATAGCATAAGCAATCAATTTCATATCAAATGGAAGTCCGTTAAAAACGAAGTTTAAGGGTATAAATGATCATTGATAAAATATCAATAAGCTATCGAATTGCTAAAACTTTCGAAATTTTGAGGCATAGAATTGGACACTTCTACAAGTAGCCAATCACAAAAATAAAAGTTACTCGGAAAACTTTTTATCTCTAGGGTTAACAAATTGAATATGTAAAATTATTCTGGCTAATACACCTAATGATGCTCATTAGTATTTTCACTCTATCATCATTATTTCTAGATCCAATTCACAAAAAAAAAGCTTTTTGTCAAAATAATCAGCGAAGAGAACTCGACAAAGTCCAATAGATAAAAAGTTTTCCGAATCATTTTTATTTTTGTGGTTGACTACTTGTGAAAGTGTCCCATTTTATGCCTGATATTTCGAAACTTTTAGCAATTCGATAGCTTATTGATATTTTATCAATGATCATTTATACTCTTAAACCTCGTTTTTAATGGACTTTCATCTGGTATAGTATTCATTGCTTACGCTATTTGAAACCACAGCGCTACCTTCCCTCACCCTCTCCCCGAAGTAACATTATCAAAGTAAAATTCAAGAAAAAAACTCCTTTTAACTGTTATTAGAATATTTTAGTAAATATGTTCTCAATAAAGCAATATTTATATATAATTAATGACATCCACAATCAATATGAGTATATTCTCCGTCTGTCAACAAGCTATCATCGGATCAAAAATAAAAGGCAGCTTGTCGTTTTTTAAATAACTTTGGCTGAGTATAAAATACAGATCTGTAGTTTTCATCATTCAAAAGAGCAATGTTTGAGCCACCGATCCATATAATATTCATCGGAACGAAAGAGCCTCTTCATATTAAATCAGCCTTTTTTTCGCTATAAAATTATCACATTATTCATTGTCTCATTGATCTCTTTTTTCAAGTGCACTTTCAAAAAAACTGGTGATCATTTTATAGCGAAAAAAGGGCTAATTTGAGCTACATTTTGGCGTTATTTCAGCAGAAATTATTGTAAAAATGAATGTAAATACACAAGCAAAAGAATGTCAACCTTAAAGCTCTTTTGAAAAGGCTCTTTTGTCCTGATGAATATTATACGAATCGAGAGTGCCTACAATTTTCTCGAATACAAAAAATCTCGATAAAATTTGTCGAATTGGACAAATTTTATTAAAAAATGTCGATTATTGTATTGTCAAGTTTCCTTTCGATGAATTTCAAATTCAATTATAATCACCTGAAATTTCACCTGAAATCAAGTTGGAAGCGTTTTGAAATCAACTTGATTTCAAGTCAGATTTTAGGTGATTATAATTGAACAAGTAAAGCTCGTCTGCCGACGCGCGCAGCTCTTTCTCGTAAAAATGCTGTTTTTGAACTCTCAGCAAATTATTTATTTACACCATTTCAAAAAGTGAAATGAACACATTCTCGCTGTGTTTTTCTGTTAAGTTCATCTAGACATTTGAGTTCATCTTTTTGAATAGTGGAAGGTCTGACTAGTGAGACCTAATTAATAAATAACTAGTAGAAACTGACTTCGAATTCAGACTGCCCACCCTCGATTACCTTTATTCAAGCTTTTTGGAAAGTATTAATTATTATTAATTAATTAATAAAAACTGACCTTGAATTAGGATTCCTCACCCTCAATTACTTTTGGTCAAGTTTTATGGAAAATAACCCATTTCGTTTTCAAATTATTCTTGGACCAATCAGCCTAGTGTGGACACATAAACAAGTAAGGAAACAATTTATTCTTGCTAGACACTTTTCTACAAGAAAGAGAATTTGAAGTTCATCGAAAGGAAGCTTGCCAAAACAACAATCGACATTTTTTGTATTCGACAAAATTGATGTTTCTCACTGATCGATGGCCCAAATGTTGCTCTTTTGAAGGATGAAAAGTACAGATCTATATCTTGTACTCAGTCAAAGTTATTCAAAAAACAACAAGTTACCTTTTATTTTGGATCTATAATAGTTACATTTATCTTAAAAATTTCAGCAAATGAATGTATTTATTTCACCAGCTTAGATAGATTCTACAAAGTGACAAACTTTGTTTATTCGATGTTTTCATATGAATCTTCCGAAAAAGTGATTCATACAGTGAATCATATTAAGCAGAGTTCATTAATTCTCATCTTTTTTAACATACAATCCTATCTTAGTGCACCCAAGTCATTTTTAGAAACCATCTTTGGTATCAGTCTTAGAATGTTGTGTATCATATAGAAATCAATCAATTAGATATCATATTTTATTTGAATACTGATTGAAAAATAACCTTCGATACAATCGAAGAGGAAATTCGATTTGTTTTTATTGGGAGAATCGAATATATATGTCGGCGTTCAATGTCGGATTCAAGAAGAAGGTTTCGTCAAAACTTGTATATTTGTTCTTAGTTTCGAAACTATCTGGAGTTACTATGCCCAGATACTTTTGAAACTTAAAACAAATATCACTATGCGATTCAGCATGGGATGCTATCCCTATATAGCACCATTTCATCGGGGTGTAAGGTCATTTGATCTAATTAAGGGCTCTTGGGAAAAAGCTTATAACTCCAGAAGAAAACAAGATGGCCAGCTCGAGCTTGTCATAGATCCGAAGAGAACAAATTTCTCTATCGGTCGGTATGATTGCAAGCGCAAATCGAATGAATATTAGTATCACGAGGCAGCTTACAAAATGTCCGGCAAAAATTCTTCTAGTTGGTCAATTCATTGACCATTCAAAATCATACCTGTTGTGTAGTCTCTAGCTTGCTCTTTGAAATAGTGAAAACTGCCGGTCTCTATCTTGTTCCTATCAAGAGTTATTTAAAAAAAATGCTCATTGGCATTTAAAAAAAATTCGACATTAGTTTCTCCATTGTTGATCGTAAGGCCTATAAAGTCATAGTTTTATTACAATTTATCAAGAAGGATTCGGATATGACATCAATCTGGCGAGTAATCTAAGTTTTAAATAAAACTTTCTTCTCCATTCGACATTGAACGCGTCCAATTTCAGATTCGACATCCGCCTAAATGAAGTCGAGATCAGACGTAATCTCAAGACGGAAGGTCACCAACTGTTCAATCGTTTTTGAGTCGGAACTATGTGCATCATGCAGGTCCTAATGAACTATGAATAATCTGCCAAGAGTTCGGGCCGCTAGTGTATTATTGTTGAGATACTGCATTTTTACGATCTTTTTAAGCACGATCCCGTGATCCCTCTCAGGAGCACCAGAAAAACTGAGCTTTGAATTTCGACTTGAAACTTGGTAGAGAAACAGGCCTCAGTGAGAGTACTTTCTGGTGAAAGTTTCAGATCGTTTCGTTGTTCCTGTTCTAAAATAAGAATATCGGAATCTGTCCATGTATACGAGCGATGTGAAAAACATGCTGTTCAGTTGTACCTTAGAATAGGAACAATCAAAAGATCTTAAACCTTTACAATAAACTACTCTCATTGAAGCCTGTTTCTGTGCGAAGTTTCAAGTCGAAATTCGAAATTCAGTTTTTCTGGTTCCTGAGAACCACGACATTATGCTTAATTAAAAATACGTAAAAATGCAGTATCTGGACAGCAATAAGCTAGCGGCCCGAACTCTTTGCAGGTTATTCATAACTCATTAGGGTCTACAAGATACATATGGTTCCGACTCAAAAGCGATTGAACAGTTAGTGGCCTTTCCTCGTCAGTTTGAATCGTGATATATATATTTGCAAAAAAGAAATTCCTATCGAAATAACACATCAATCAGAGATAATCACTTTGTGTAAATACTCGCAAAACTAAATGAACTTAGTGCCGAAGATTTCTATATTAATTGATTAGTCAGACAAAAAAATCATTTTCGATAGTTTTAAAAGAAAATGAGAACTTACCACAACCACGGCCAAAACTAGTTCCAAAATCAAGTCTTGTAACATATCGAAAACGAATATCAGTCAGTTTACAATGTTCGACATCTAACGATGATTGTAAAAACGCAGAATATTCTGACTGACCAGAATATTTGCGTTGCCCTACAGCAAAAAACTTTCCTACCTAGTTAAATTTGCGAAAGTTTCCTAAACAATCCTTAAGATCAAATAAATGAATCGTGTCTTCTTGATTGCGGACAATTTGTCGGCAACAGTAACATCATCAAGGTAAGGTTCCATCCGACTATTCGACTGTTTTTGGTGCAATCACTAGTCTGCAAAGCAGAATCGAAGGAGAGCAGGAAGAGACAAAAATATTCCTATGATAGAATTTATTACAAAAGATAAATATATCTGCATCATAAAAACAAGTGAAAAGAGTTACAGTGAGATGATCAATGCAGATCGACTGATTTCAGAGAGGATGTTCTCTTGTTATAGCTAGCCTAATGATGGACCTCATATGTCCTCTAAACGATTTTATTCATGTACTTGTAAAATATCTATTTAAAATTATAGATATTATTTTAGATGAACGAAATATGTAATAGATTTTCTATATTCTACTTACATGCATTGAACGAACATTATTTCCTCGATCATTTTCGAATCTCTTTGACCTAATTTGGGTTTAATTCTTATTGTGAAACATATCCAGATCTCTGGATTTCAATAATGCAATTTCAAGAATCGAAAGAATCAACCATTGTTCTAATTGAACAAGAATAAGCTCAACAATGTAGAACATGTCTTAAAAGATTTAAATCAATGACAAATGATAACATCTTAATTAAAGCATCCACGGAAAAATCATTGTCTTCAACCGATTCTATTAAATTACGGGAGTTAGACCATTGATTTCGTTTTTAATACGGAATCAAACTGCGATCTTTTTGCAAAATGCGATTTCAAATAATCAAATAAATGATCTGACTCTCACCGTTCAATAGAACTACTTCAGAGCAAGGTTTTATAAAATTGTGGTTATTTTTCATAGGTGATCTGATCAGCAAAGCTGGCTTAAGATGACCAGACTCATATGAACTTTGCACAAAGTTCAGGTAGAATATCCTTCGAGGGTTTTTTGTAATGAATTTTGTAAAAGTTCAATAGTTCTCTTAAGTCATCTTTTAATGAGAGAGAGAGTCATTAAGCCAATTTTTTAAACTACCTTCGAAATAGTAGGAAACAACATTCTTTTCATCGTTATATATTCCGTTTTTTTCTTAGATACTCCATTTACAAATAAGTTACCCGTAGTATATGGAACTCTTACTAATCGCAATACTTCCTAGAACGATTACAACTGGACTCACTGCAGTTTGTGACAAACTGCGAAACATCGTACCATTTGTAAGGATGTGGATAGATATGAATGCAGACTTACCGATCAGGAACAGGATGACAGGAACTTATCTATCTAAACGCGAAAAGTATTCGGCTTGCTGCCAAAATTTTAAAAACCTACTACAAAAATTTTTTTATAGTCGTGTCGCAAATTCTAACGGAAATCGCGTTTCTTGTCTTTTTTTTCTGGCAAAGAGCCAAATAAAAATGCCTTTTATCAAGAAAATCTTGTGAACACGCTATAGTTTTGGCCTTTTCTCTTTAGTGTCTATCAGCCCATGTAAAAAAAAGTGATTATAGAAATCGATTTTAACGTCATTTTTTCTCATATTTTTTTACATGGAAGGAAATTATATGAAGAAACTTTTTGCAAAACTTTTTACTGTTTCCACTCTAAAAAACAATTAGGAAGTCTGTGTCGATATGGATGTGGAGGAGGTTGGTTGTGGATGGAGTGCGGCACGATTATAATAACTACACCGACACTCCCACTCGCGCTTACCAACACCATACTCGCAGATGAACATCCATTTTACGCTAAGTTTTTATTGATGAACTTTCTCGTCCTGAATATTCATTCACTTCGACTTCTTTCAATTGCAATGTTTCTTTTTTTTGTTTTTGTACATAATAAATTCGTGTCTTCATGCTATACTGTGAATATTTTTCAATCTACGCTCATTTTTGTCTCTTCTGCTCTCTAGACATTCTTTCTGAATTGTTAGGGAAAATCTTCTCAATAAATATGTATAACTTAATAAATCTGATCAAGAGATATCGTTCGAGGTGATAAATTACACGTAGAAAAATTTCCTTTCTTTAAATAAAAATATTTACTAATATTAAATTGAATACATCGAATATGAGGATATATTTTATCAAATTGATTGAGAATTATATAAATTGATGGATCTAAATTAAGTTTGATGTATTTGATACAATCCCAATCGAAAATCATTGGATAATCTATACTGAAAAATGCAAAGGTTTATTTATTATGAAGAAAATAAATATATTACATAACACCATGAAAGAATTTTGATTTAATTATTGTAGTTGATGATATATGTTGACATGACAAAATAGGATCAAAGAAACATTTAATATTTGTCCAATCATGATCAGAGAAAAAATCATCAGTTTTAAAAGAATCAATTATTTTTTGAATATCATTTGAAAATAATAATCGACATTTAAATATAATATAAAAATCAAAATATATTAAATTGGTTAGTATATCAGGTATACAATATCTACGAAGAAAATTTGCATCAATAACATTAATAAAGTCCATTAAATATTTTATATATAAATCAACTTTTAATTTATCAATATAATTTATATTATTAAGAATCCATTTTAAATAATCGAACTGTAAATGACTATTTATAGCACTTTTTAACGAAAAATATTTTAATTTTGGTATCTAAAATAGAACATTTTTTCAAAAGATTATTCTATGAGTCAAACGTTTTTATTCTCATGGAAATCGTACAAAATCTCGAGTCAATCATGCACCATTGAAGAAAAAACTCAAAGTCACAGAGATCTTGTAAAAATTCGAAAAACAACAAGAATTAATACTCAAGTACAAAACAATCACTTTATTTATTCATCAATATTGATTAGATGCCAAAAAATCGTCTTACTCAAAAAGAATATGCTCTATTGATGAGCAAACAAACAGATTTTTCTATGTATTTTTAGGTTCATCTTTCATTTTCAAGAGATTCTTTCAAACTAATTATTGATTATAAAACATGATCTACAAGGGTTAAAGTTCAAAAGTGGAAATTTGAATACTCTGTGCCTCTCAATCTACAGACATGGTAAACATTCTTGATAACGGAACATTACAGATATTTTACTAATGACTTATCACCAATGTGACAAACATCCGAAAGAACGAAAGTGCACTTTCGTACTTCTTAGACCATTGTTATTTTTTTCTTCTTACTTTTTGTGTACTCAAAAAGTGAGTACACTCTAGGATCGGGCAGTGTATCCGTCCGGCCGTTTACACGATAACTTTTGAAAGGAAAGTCCGATTGCGATGAAATTTTCTACACAGTTTAGTCTCAACAATATCTCGGTCGAGTTCGAAGATGAGAAGAATTCGCCGAGCCGTTCCTGAGTTATTGCAAAAATACTCATTTTTCCCTATGGCTTCCTATAGGAAAATCGACCTATCCTCACTTTCGTAAAACACTTTTCCTATCATAGTCAAAGAAAACCCCAACTATTATACACCATTCGATAGAGAATTTCACGAGCTACAAAATGGTATATAAAACATAAAGAAACAACAAGGCTAGCTTACCTATTGCAAAGATAAATAAACGAAAATCGGTTCTGTTTTTGTCTGCGCTCTAATCGATCCACAAGTAGAACTCTATTTTCCGATCACAGATATAATACTTCAAAGTTTTCTGGAATGAAGAACCCGAATCTGTAATCCACTTGACTTGAAGCCCCATTGGCTGAGCACTGACCAATAGAAATCAAATTATAGGAAAAACGAGTTTTTTAGGATAACTCAAGGCGAAGAGTCCAAATCTGAGCTGTATTCACTTCGAAATCCTATTGGTTGAGCAGTAGCCAATAGAATTCAAGTGTTTATAGAAAGGGTTTGCCAAGCTAATTTTTATATCCACACATTGTAGGATAACCGATTTGTCTCATTCACTTTTTGAAGTACACATAACTCTCGGATTTAAATTCGAGATTTCCACATTTATTTCATAAAAAATTTCGATGTACTTCTAAATACTGAGGGCATACCAAAAGTAGTGGCACCATTATCTTATTTTCGTATAGGAAACTTGAAGAAATTTTCTTTTTCTATGTAGTGATAGAGAAAATGATGCTCTATTTTTCTATACTATTTGATCTAACTTCAACTAATATCCTAAAAATAAAATTTTGAAAAGAACTTTTTTTGTGTAAAACTTGAGTCTGTTTAAAAAAATAATGGCAAGGGACATTTTTGCAATAACTCAAGAACGGAAACAGCTAGAAAGCTGTGGTTTTCATCGTTCGAAAGAAGGAATAAAGATGCATCAAATCATATATTACAGATTTTTTTGACATGAATTGTTTAAGTTTTTTCAATAGGTTTCTTTGAAGACAAATCTATTACTGAGGTGTTCACAGTGAATTCTTAATTTTTACGTGTGTATTCAAACCGCTAATGAGAGGTTTGAAAACCTGCACAAGATTCAGATGTTTAGAATTGATCGTTTGGAAGTTATAGGTATACTAGTCGAAGCTATAAGCGATTTTTCTGGCAATTTCTATAAAAAACAAGGTTTTTTTTTCCTCTTTTCTTTTTGATAAGAAGCCATTTTCCCACATTTAGAAAATTGATTAAACAAACTTCAGACAACATGTTAGGAATAAATATAATATGCGGTTTGATGTATGTTCATCTCTTCTTTCGAAAGATGAAAACTGCAGCTCTCTGCCTTGTTTCTATCAAAAGCTATTCAAAATTTAGCCACTAAATAGACATTAGTATCACGGTTACATTTGAGAGAAAAGCAAGTCTTGTCGAAATTTTATTATCATGATATTAGTTGAGGTATAATCCAATGGCATAGAAAAATAGAGCATCATTTTCTCTATTATTACATTAAAAAGAAAATTTCTTCAAACGTCCTATACGAAAATAAGATAATGGCATCACTACTTTTCGTATACCCTAAGTAATTTTCTTCTCTCTATCTTTTTAACTTCTTTGATATTTATCTTCGTTTATACATGTGAAACACACGTGCTCTGTTTGTTTTTTTTTGTGTGTGTGTAGTTGGTTCTTGTATATTTTCAAGGTGAAAATTTGTAAAAGCTGCAGAAAACTTAAGAGTATCAAAACTTTTGCTTATATGATATCCCTTGAAGATTTATGAAATATCATAGAATTATAGAGCACGACTTGGACTATCAGAATATATGGAGAAAAAATTTCCTAAAGCCTTCTGTAAAATATTACAGGATCGGCGCCACTACTTTTGGTATGCCCTAAGTATATTCATGCACTTTAATATAATTCATCGAATTCTGATCTACTTCTCTACTTCAAAAGTACAAAACTATGCGTTCTCCTTGTTACAAATACCTAAATAACATGTCTCTCATCACGAATTATAACGAATAATACATTGTTTTATTATTTCTAATGTAAAAAAACAGCTTCATCGTAGTTTATATTGTAATTCCTCAGAGATTTTGTCAAGTTTTTCTTTTCACAAATGTTATACAATCAGATAAATTTCTATTTATTCTTTAAAATATTACAAATAGTTTAGTATGATAACAATTGTAATATTCTTTTCACGGATTAAACTCTTCTTCGATACTTCAAATTAATAATCATTATGATTACATTAAACATCTATCAACATTTGCTTCGATTAATCCATTCTAATTAACAATACATTATGCAATTACTTATTATTTGTTTTCTTACCACTCATACAATCTCGGAATTTGCCTAGAAAAAAACTAATCAAATATCTATTTTAGATAATATATGAATAAAGAATGTCCTTATGTTAAAACAATAATAAAGAGCTTATGACATGAGATATAATTCCAAAAAAAGTCTAGTTTTACTTTTAGAAAATATTCGTTATACTCCTTTGTTTTTACCTTATTACACCAATTAACATTTGTCGGTATAAATGTTGTGGTGTCTGAATCAAGTGAGTTTTTCCAGAGTAAAGCATTTTTGAATTGAACTGAGAGAATTTCAAGATTGGGTACATGTTCAATAATATGTTCAAATAAAAAACCATAAATTAAATGAATATGTAAATAACGAAGACTCATACAATGTGTAACAGGTTTATTGGTAATTGTTGAAAAACATTTATGAATATAAACATTAAAAAAATCAGTTGATAAATCAAGTTCGAGAGAAGTTAATTGACATTTATCAGAAAACAATCGATGTATAAATTCTTGAAACATGAGCATCAATTTGTATTCTATTACATAAATATTTGAAAATAATATCTAAACTTGTTATTAAGACAGAAATATGTTCGCCTCTCTGAATCTACTGTGTTCAAGACATCTTACTATTACTGTATCACAGCAATCTTTGAATGTTGTAATAGCTGAGAAGACTTTTCAAAAACTTTTTTTAAATAATGCTTTGGAGACTCATCATTATGTGAATCTTGTCATGGATTCAAATCTGAGGGTCACATAATGTGTCGAATTGAGAAATTATCGAGTTTCGACGATCTATAAGAGAAATTTCTATTAGACATTTATCACTATAGTTCTATTGTATGCCCTTATTATCGGTCATAGGAAGTGAGCCAAGCATGCTAACCAAAGAAACGTGGTTCACTTCATATAGAGAAAATGGACCAATCAAAATGCGAGTTCTTACTTCACCGCCATCCAACTATTTTCCCAAAACAGAACAATAGTATTCACAACCCGGAAGTGCCATTCCCATAACAGAACAATAATACTCATAACCCGGAAGTACCATTCCCATAACAGAACAATTGTGTTCTGTTTTGGGAACAGTACTTCCGGGTTGTGAGTATTATTGTTCCGTTATGGGAATGGCACTTCCGGGTTGTGAGTATTATTGTTCTGTTATGGCAATGACACTTCCGGGTTGTGAGTATTATTGTTCTGTTATGGGAATGGTACTTCCGGGTTGTGAGTATTGTTGTTCTGTTATGGGAATGGCACTTCCGGTATCAGAGTACCATATATTTGAAATGGGTATAGTATGGACTAATGGACTCCACTTAGGCTCACGCCAACTTTGGCTCACTTCATATGACCCTTATTATCAGAGTTTATGCATAGTTTCGATATGAAACAAGATACATTTTAATAATCACAACAAGAATATAAACTAAACTTTTGAATACATAATTGTAAAGATGTCTCATTCTTTTAAAGAAATAAATAAATAAATAACTCAGATTTGATAAGTATTATCATAATCAAAATCGCACTATTCCATATTGATCCTTAATTTTAAGTGTGATAAGTTCTCGCATAGTTGGTATCATGTACGATTCAATTTGTCGAGAAGTCACGTTTTTCGTCATAGATTTGCTCATACTGCTGTTAGATTCATAAAGACTTGTCAGTACTATATTTTTGAACATTATATACACTCATAAGAGAAAGAAAATTAATGTCCATTGCAGAAATAAGTGGGCGCGAGTATTTTTCGAGTAATTTTTCATAGGACTGTGACAGAAATCTGCACTTTTCACTGTTGAAAAAAAAAGATGAAGATGCATCGATCCATACATAGAAAGGTTTATCTAATTACTTTCCTAAAGCTTGTACAAAAAACTTCAAGAAAAACAGCATGCCCATCATGATGATCATATTAATTTATTGATTTTGACGAGTGCACTAGAACCATCACACAAAGAGCTACAAAACCATAGAAGACATAATATACTAGCTCATTTTTTCAATAAAATAATCGAAAAATGGAAGTTTTTGTAGTATTTTGATAAAGAAAATCTCTTTTTTCACGTAGATGAAAAAAGTTATCTTTTGAAAATGTTTGATTAAAACATTTAGGAAAACTGTTGGAAAATCTTTCTGAATATGATTCGATGCGTCTTTATTTTCTCTTTCCAACAATGAAAACCGCAGGTCTCTATCTCATTCCTATGAAAAATTATTCAAAAAATGAGCACAGCCACTAATCTCTGAAATAGACATTAATAGATTGATATTATTGCATGTTTAATTACTATCCAACAGATTTTATATAGGTATCTTTTATTAATACATATCTATACACATAGTTCGCATTTGAAAAGAAAGATACAACGCAATCGAATTCGAACACATAGGAGATGAGCTACATCTGAATAATGTGAGAAACAATGAACTAATCTATTCGTTTTGTTTTTTTTTACTTTGTTATTTTTGTACGCGCTCTGATTAGAGTTGGCTTCTATTACATGGAGAAAAGTATGAAATCGAAATTGAGTTTCTATATTCTGTAGAAAGGAGAAATAGTGAGATAACTTTAATTAACATTCTTGACCAAGATTCTGTAACATTCTGATAGGAAAATACTCCAATGGTATACTCTAGTAAAACTGGTTGAATAAACAGATATCTTCGACTCACGAGGGAACATTCTCAAGTGATACCAATCGTTTCAGCTCATATTGTGCCCACAAGTAGATCTCAGTGAGACTAGAGAAAGTCTAAAAGGGTTCGTGCCATTGCGCCTTTGGAGCCGAGTTAGACCTGATTTATTGAATTTTCGACCCTTTTTAAGGTACTGACCGAAAAATGAAATAATGAATTTTTCATCTGAAATTTTTACCATAGATAGTTATACTTATACCTAGAATATCCTGAAAGTTTCAGCCGAATAGAATGTTCCTGTGTCGAGATATTGAATTTCCAAAAAATAGTCATTTGCCACAGATATTTCACAAAAGTCGAGTTTAATTGAAAATTCAATAACTCGACACAGGAACATTCTATTCGGCTGAAACTTTCAGGATATTCTAGGTATAAGTATAACTATCTATGGTAGAAATTTCAGATGAAAAATTCATTATTTCATTTTTCGGTCAGTACCTTAAAAAGGGTCGAAAATTCAATAAATCAGGTCTAACTCGGCTCCAAAGGCGCAATGGCACGAACCCTTTTAGACTTTCTCTAGTCTCACTGAGATCTACTTGTGGGCACAATACGAGCTGAAACGGTTGGTATCACTTGGGAATGTTCCCTCGTCAGTACAATGAATAAGTCTATTCAATATAATATGATAAAAATGTTCAGATCGAAAATATGAAAAAAAAATATGTAAAATCACCTCGATTAAAGCGTTTTCTTAGAATTCGTGCTCCATGACAAAATAATGCAAAAATATTTTTATCAAATATTAATATTAATTCATCTAATTGATATTGAATAAGTAATGATAAATTTTTAAGAGATTTTTCTGTTAAATAACATTGTCTAAGAATAAGCTTTTTTAAATTAACAAAATTAAGAATTTCACGATAAAAAATCCATTGACATATAATATCATCATAATTTGAATGATTTCCATCAATATCCATCCATTCTATACAGGAAAAAAATGATAACAAATCACTAATTTTCGATGTCATTATTGAATGACATCTATTAAAAGATAAACATCGTTTATGAATAATTATTCCATTATTATTCATTAAAGTCTTTAAATAAATAAGATCATTTAATCGTTTATTTAATGACCAAAATGATTCTATGATTTGAAACCATGGTATATAAGATAATATAAGAAGAAGAATTTCATTTGCTAGATTTTCTAATTTATTTATCATATTGTATCTAAAAATATACATTTACATACCAATTCATCTTTCTTGATAATCTCAGTAAAATGTCTCTATATTCAATTTAATTGAAAGATCTTTTTTCATTAAATCAAACAAAAAAATAATCGTCTATCTTCTATCGAGCTTTTGGAAAAATTCATTAAGAAAATGACCATATTAAGAGAACATCAGTATCTGCAACATATCAATAGAATGACCAGATCGACCGAACGCTAGAACCCATCAAGCTTAAAAACTTCGATTCTCAATCCAATCTGTATTGATAATATTTCCAATGAAATTTTGAATCAGAACTTGATAGTTATATCAAAAATGGAGATACTTTGTTCAAGTATTTCCATCTAGCGACTAATATATTTTATACATTTCTTAGAAACTCGTGAAAGTAATCTTACAGAAATAGTTTCATTATTGATTATTTATTTAAGAACAGTAAATATCCATTTGTAGAGTTAATGCGCTCTTTCTTTGCCCGTAGGATAGCTTGGTCACTCTAGTTACTTGGAGTAAATACAAAAGATCGAGTCACCAGAAAAATTCAACATTTTTTTTCTTTTTTATAACGCTGGAGAATACACAAAAGCGAAACCTATTTCATTTTATTTGATTTATATGAAAACAGAAAATCTTAATATATGAAAATTATTTTAAAAAAATCTATGCATTTTTTCTTTACATTTTCAAAAATAAAACATTTGTTTTTAATGAAATAATAAAATAACTACTGACAATATTAAAATTCATAACAAATATTATTTCAAATTTGCATGTGATAAGGTTTACAAAACATTTCTTCCCAATGTTGGCCATTTGTCTCTGTTTTCTTAACGATAACTCAAGGATTCATCTTGTGCATTACTGTCTCTTACTCGTCAAACTATTTCGAAATCTTTACTGTCCATAAGTTAAGAAACATTTCTTCAAAAATGTTTCAATTTTTTCAAAACTATCGACTTCCTAATGTTCATATTTTGAAGACAAATCTATGAAAAATTTTCCAAATTATTGTTAATTAATAGAAAATATTTATTTTTACTATTTGTTTAATTGAATTACATATTTTAAGAAAGTATTTTATAAAGTATATATGATGAATATTCTATTAAACAATCATATTTAAATCATATATTCTATATTGATATAATCTTTCTTTATTTTTTTCATCGAAGTAAATACCAATGAGAGATATTGTACAATTATTACTCGATAAATATATTACGCAACTCATTGCATTAGAACTCTGCAATATGACATGAACAAGAGATGAATAGATTTTGTTGACAAAAATGTCAATATTAATAATAAAGTTCATGACTATATTAAACGTTAAAAATCTTTGAAACTGATTTTTCTCATATGCACTACTCAGGTGTTGAAAAACCTATGAAAATCTGATCATTTCCTAAACCTAGAGTCTATCGAATCCGACAAGAAGATAAATTTCAATCCAAAATTGTTACTTAATATTTACTAAATAAATACTACTTAAATAAGTAATAAGTACATCAGAATCGTCAGATGTGTCAGTACTTTCACAACTCGGAATCTCATCAAGTTTTTTTGAATGTTGTACGTTACAAGATCCGATCGGATTCATTCACTTGTATATCGAAAATTATTGAAAAAAATTCGAACAGAAATAGACTTTATGTGAATTTTTCGATGTTTATATATCTATAGTCACTTACATTTCTGTTTCATGAAAAATCAAAATTTTTTTCAATTATTTATTTTTTCCATTATGGAAAACAGATACAATTCACAAATGTATCTTTAACAATTCAAATACGTCAAACTTAATAAAAGAAAACATAATCATAAACCTTTTAACATTTATTTACGAAGCTTTTCAACATTTTTTGGTACATTTTTTTTATTCCACATACTGCTTATCTCTTTAATGAATATGATATATGGATTCAACTACTAAAAAAGTTCTACAATTTTGAGCAATTCTGTTTTCTCATTGGAAGGTTAGAATTTCGGCTAGAATCGAAATGTCATCGGATATTTGGAACAGATCTAAAGTGATGTCATTCTATGGTGCTTTGCAGGATATAGACATGTACCTTAACATCCAACACAGAGAAAAAAAAAGGAAAGATCACGCTGTAAGAATATACTGTACCTGTTTACTATCGATAATAGCAATATCAAAAGCAGTGCCGCGCTCTACATAGCTTTTACCACTCCAGGATGGCATAGTATTGAGCAAGAAGGCATGATACTGAGCAGTCTGCTTTTATGCATATTAAAGATCGTATAGTTTTGAGAGATAACTGTGACTTCATGTATTCTCCTACATTGATTTGATGAACTTAGAAAAATGATTAATAAAATGAGACAAATAAAAGAATTTTTCGAAGATTTTTCATAAATTATACATAAAGTTGTTCACAATGTTGAAAAATTCTATGGATAAATGCTTCTTTAAGAATTTCTAAAGAAATTTATTCAAATTAACGAATAAGAATTTACAGAAAAAAAAAAAGAAACGCTATTAAATATATTCCAGAAGATTTTCTTTCTTCTATATGTGACCATACAAAATGGAATTTTTCTAAAATATCTAAGTTCTTAACTATAATCATTAATTATTCATAAAGAATAAGTTCTTTTCCTAGATATAAATCTGAAGATATTAAGGGGACCCCCCCCCTTTCCGAGGTTTCTCGAGAACGGCTCGATGAAATTTTCTGAAACTTTCAGGGTAGATAGATCTCGATGAGTAGAGCAAAAGTTGTCATAGGCTCAGAATTCGAAGATGCTGTCTTTCCAGAGATATTTGCGATCCAAGGGCGAAAAATGACCTGAAGTTTTCCCCCCCGCAAAACTCTTATACTGCATTGTTTCGAGCTGAAATTTTTTCTGCAGAAACTAGGAACAAATTGGGTTGGCCGTTTTTTTTTTCTTCGAAAAATATCGTTCCTAAGGGTCAGGAGAACCAAATCACTGACGGCACTATCAAAAAATGCGATTTTTTTCGTTTTTTTCTTATAGTGCCAATTTTGTGGTACCTAGTAAAATTCCTTAAGAAGAATATTTTCAAGAGAAAAAAAAAACGGCCACCCCAAATTATTCGAAGTATTCACAGTAAAAATTTCAGGTCGATTGATTGCGGTGCGAGAGGAGAAAAGGGGGGAAAACTTCATTTTTGTGCTGAAAAAACTGATTTTGAGAAAAACGCAAAGAAATTTCTGTTTTTTGGTTTTTTCAGCATATTTTGTGTTTTTTTTCAAAGTTTTCTATATATAAGATGTGGATTTTCAGTTCTCAAAGTGTACTCAATGGATAGAGGGCATTTAAATCTATATACTAATCACAAAAAATGAAAAACAAAAATTGTGAAAATTTTGAGTCGGGAAAGGGGGGGGGGGGCCCCTTAAGTGTTACGGTCTTACCATCTTAAAATGCCGTTTTTAATCATTATATTGAACAAATATCCACTATCACTTCGTAGCGATTATGATAATTATCGACAGAATGCATGAGTTCTAGTGAGAATGATTTTCCTCCTTTTTTCTATTTTCATGTATTAAGCGGAACTCACGATTGCTATTTCTATCCAGAGAGACTTACATTTTGCTTTCCAGAAGACTATAG